CAGCTTCCCCCAGCAGTGCCCAGCTCCTTGTCCCCAGGGCTGCTCCCAGCCCATTGTCCCCAGGCTGTCGGTGCTGGCATTGCCCTGGCCCAGGGGCAGGACGTTGTCCCTGCTCCTGCTCAGCTGCAGAGCCTGGCACAGGCCCAGCTCTCCGGGCTGTGCAGGTGCCTCTGGATGCCCCATCCCTTCGTGCAGGGTGTGACACAGCCCCAGCTCCGTGTCACTGCAGTGTGTGGGGCTGTCCTGGCTCCAGGGTCCCTGCCACCAACAGAGACATTTCCCAGTGCCACTCCTGGCTCCAGTGTCCCTGTCACCAACAGAGACATTTCCCAGTGCCACTCCTGCTCCTGAGGGACACCTCCTCACTGCCCTCCACCACCCCTGAATCCAGGGGTGCTGCTGCTCTTCTGCCTTTGCTTTCCCCCTTCCCTTTGTGGAGGACAAGCCCCAGGTGTCCTTCCCAAAGTGTCCATTCTGCATCCCAGTCACTGCCCTGGTTTTGGACAGGACAGGCACCTGACACATCCCAGCAGGAGCAGAGGCTGGACTGGCCCTGGAGCTGCACCCTCTGGGATTTCTGGCTCCCTCCCCCGTGCACACAGTCTCTCTTTATTTGTGTTCATGGTTTTGGGACACATTTAGGAGGAGTTCAGTCCTGCTTTCCGTGTTTCCTCGTGGATCACAGGGGTGTGTAAGGGTTGCCCTCTGAGCCCATCAAGGGCAGCCATTCCCCAGCACTGCCAAGGCCACCATGTCCCCAATTGCCACATCCTGTTAAATCCCTCCATGGATGTGCCTCCAGCCTGTGCCAGGGCTGGACAACCCCTGCCATAAGGAAATCTTCCCAGTATCCAGCCTTAACCTCCCCAAACCCACAAGAAATCCAAACCCACAATCCCAGCAGCTGCTTCCTGTCTCACCTGAGGGACAATTCTCACCTGGCTCTAAGTTACAGATCAGTTTAATCTGAAGCTGGGAGCCAGGCCTGCATGAGCCAGGCAGGTTCCTGGGATATTCCAAGGCCATGTGTGTATCCTCCATTGGAGTATCCTGGAATATTCCAAGGCTGTGTGTGTATCCTCCATTGGAATATCCTGGAATATTCCAAGGCCATGTGTGTGTCCTCCCAGCTGTGTCTGCTCTTTTTTGTCACCATGGGGAAGAAAACAAGGCAGGAGTGCAGGGCTTGTCCAGGCAGGGCAGGACCCTGGGAGTGTCCTGGGAATTGTCCTATGCTGCCTGGGACAGCAGAGCCCCCAGGCCCACGGTGCCTGATCCAGGAGTGCTCTTACCCAGCCTCCCTCCTGTGGCCACCCAGCCCCTCCAGGGGCCCCTGAGCTTCCTTAGCCGTGTGTGGTGTCCCTGCTGGCCCAGGCAGGCACTGGGCAGGGTGCTCTGGGCACAGGCAGGGCTGGGTGGCCCCAGGTGCCCCAGCTCTCACCCCTTGCCCTTCCCCCCCTGCGTTCCCCCCGTAAGGAGCCCGGGCAGCTGGAGCTGGCCTGACCTCAGTGCCTCCTCAGTGCCTCCTCAGTGCCTCCTCAGTGCCTCCTCAGTGCTTCCTCAGTGCCTCCTCATCCCTCAGGAGGTGAGTACTGGAGTGTCCCACCTGAGCACTGTGTGACCATAACCCCAGCACTGTGCCAGCAGCTCCAGGACACTCGTGACATTAACCAGTCACCCCCTGTGACCCCACAGCTCCTCCCAGTTCAGCATCCTCCCTGCTCCCAGGGATTAACCAACACCTCCTCCTGCACCAGCTCGTTCCTGGCACCAAAGCCACACTGGAGGGTTTGGGTGGTCCTGCTGGAGTTGGGTGTGTGGGATGGAGAAGTGTCCTGGTCCCAGGATCTTCATCCACCCCTCTCTCCTCCCTGGGTCACCCTCCAGTGACCCCGTGGGGCCACGGACCCAGAGAGCACTGACAGAGTTGTGGAGGAGAATCCCACACTGGTTTGGCCTGGAGAGACCCCAAATCCCCCCCAG